AGAAATCCTTACTTGGGTCTAATTTGAACAATATTGAAAGCACAACAAAACTAGTTTTTATTATGTCACCACACATTTAGTGGGTTGTGGAAAGCATTTTGTTTCAAGAATGGAGTTAACTATGTCTTATCCATGCTTCTAGCCTTTCTTGTTATTTCTGGCTACTCCCCAAGCATGCCTGTTACGCATACCTACTTCTTTTCTAGGAAGAAATGCATGAAAATCCCGGCAGAATATGCTGCTGACTGCTAGCAGAGTTTTAGTGGTGAGAGATTAACATAATTGATTCTGTTTGAGAAGTATCATTGGTAACGGTCACATACATGTAGTTTATATGAGAAATACGTTCTTTTTAAAAACTTGTTCTGTTTAATTTTACTTTGCTTTTAAAAATGAAACTAAAAAGAATCTAAGACGTGTATGTTTCGTTTATTCCTACTATTCCATAATACTTGGACTAGAACAGTACATCTTTGCATGAAGTAAATGCACCGAAATCTAAATATACATACAAAGGTACTTCATAAAATTTGTGGGAAAAATTCAGTTAAAAGATAGTACAAACTTGGACCGCCCCGTGGCTCGCTCCGGAGAGTGCGGCGAACACCGAGGCCGCGGGTTCGGATCCTATATAGGGATGGCCGGTGCGCTCACTGGCTGAGCGTGGTGCAGACCACACCGTGCCGAGGGTTGCGATCCCCTTACCAGTCAAAAAAAAAAAAAAAAAATTAATAATACAAACTTTTCCATGAACTTTTGAAAACCCCTTTAATGATTTAAATTTAAGGTATAATGTCTAAAACAGCAAAATGCTTATGAACTTAAAATTCCAAAAAAAGGAATATTCTAATTCTTACCTTAAATTTTGCTTCATCAAATATTATCATTATATCATGTTTCTTTTACTAAATTTTTTTTCTATAAAATAATGTAGTAAAATGGTGTTTGGTAAATACAAGGTAACATTTAAATGCTCATTTTCTAGTAAAATGCAATGCTTATGCAATATTTTCTTTTAGTTCTAGAGAAAAGAATACACCTAAATGCTTAGATTTACTTTCTGATGATCTCTGAGACTTTGGTAGAGTTTGGGCCTGCAACAGACCTGTATTCTCAAAAATTTGTACTTCATTCATATGGGTTATATATAGTGGCCTAATTCGTTTTCCCTAGCAGGTCACACCTAGCCCCCGCCAATTTTTCATAGAATTAAGTTATAGGTATTTTCTCCAAAGTCTGATTTCTTACATTTTCTTCAAGATTTCAGATTCAATATTTTGGTAATACCATCAAGATAAGACAGTTCACTATTATTACAGCCACCACAGACTCTTTTGAATTAGGTCGGTTATATGTCATAAATAAATAAATACCTAAAGCATCGTTCACAGAATAAGATCAGACTTTGCATACCTACATAGTCCAAACATTACATTCTTGACATTTAAGGCATTTAAATGTAAACTGTTCTTTGTTAGGGCCTTCTCATAACTAAAATATGAGTCACTTGCAAACCATAATAGATTTTGGCTCTGCAACATGATGAAGTGTTCTGGATGTAGTGAAACATTTTACCCAGACTCATGGCAATAGAATTCCCAAAGGTCACCCCAAATAGGGAAAGAAATAAAGAACAAAATTAAAGGAAATATGTAGACCCTGGCACCATCCTTTCATGGCAATACAGCTCTTTATTATTGTTAAGAAATGGAAGTACTTAAAGCTTAGGCCCATACATGATAGTACGAATAGGTGGTGAATTTTCTTTTTCCTAATGACGGCATTTAACTCTATACTTAATTCACAAGTTTAAGGTCAAGTGGCAGAGTGTTCATTTACACACACCACCCTGATGCAGTGATATTGAGTTGTGGCCCAGTGCTGAGCCTCTCACTGCATTGTGGGCAAACTCATACTCCAAACTCCAGACTCATCTCAGGCAGGAAAGGTGGAGTTTTCCTTTTCAGGGCCAAAGGAAGTGAAAGCTCAGGAGTGATGGTTGTACTGATCCTGTTGCAGGTTTCAATATGGTTAATTTGCTTTCAACTTCAACTTCACATGTAAGCCTCCATATAGAAAATTAAACGTTAGGTTTCCAGCATCTTGCTTCGCTGTTATGAAATAAAAATCGTTTTGAGTGTAGCATTAGATTTTTTCCTCACTGAATTTCAGTAGTACCTACACAATACAAACTAGAACACCAGTTAGCACAGTGTTATTTGAGTGGCATCATAATGAACATTTGTTGTTCTTCCAGTTCTTTTTCCAGGTTTTGTCTTCCTTTCATGGTGCTTAGTGTAGCGTGTAGCAGCTTCTGAAATAGTCATGGGCATTGCTTAGGATATTACAGTCCACTCTCCAGGTGGGAGATTTTCTGAACAAAACATATAGAAGCTGTTTTTCTGAAGCTCTTTTAATGTTAAGTTATTGTTATAAGTAGGAAGTTATTAAATTATTATAAAATATTATTTCATATTATAAAAATTATATATGATGGCATGAGGGGGATACAAGAACTGAAAAATAGATAGGATTGAATTAGTTCTAAATGTCATTGTGATAGAAGGTAACTCTGATTAATACACTCTTTATATACCAGTAACATATCTATTTTATTATTACATTTGCTGAACATATAATTCTAATAAAAATGTAAAAATAACCTGGATTTGCTTTAAAAAGAACTGTCTCTAAAGGAAAATTTACATGATGAACATGGATATATTGTGAGAATGAGCAAAACAAATTCTTGCCCTTGAAATCTCAGAATCTATAAGTCACTAATTTAAGTAGTACAAAGGATCTTTGGTAACTGAAGAGATTTGCAATTACTAATTTCTGTAATCTATGGACTTATTAAAGAAATCAGAGCTACAAGATACTATTATCAAAATAAGATTTTTTTTGAGAGAATTGATAATTAAAAATGTATTTAAATACAATCTTGATGGCATTATCTTAATATCTTTAGGGGTAATACTTATGACTCTAAACGTTATTTTTGGTATAATGCTTTGTCACAATTATGTGGTCTAGGTGACAGTATTATGCGAGGAATTTAATTTTGGGGTGTCAGTACCACAAAAAAGGTCAATAATGTAAATAATTATGTTTGTCACTAAACAAAGCAAATAATCAAGCACTATTTACCTTGATGCATCAGGACTTACCATATTATAGTTCACATACTTTCTGTTTATTACACCAACTATTTAGATGTAAGTCATTTCTGAAAATGAATATTTACATGTTGCATCATTTAAGAAAAAGAAACAGTTTCTTGTAGACACTTTAAAAGCAATGACTTTCACTGATATTTAGAGAATTTAACTAAAATTTCTTTATTTGTAGTACATACCCACCACCTTCCTGCTGAATGATTAATAGTCTTCCAATGGCATCGATAAGACAAACCCTCACAAAATATTTTCCTTGATGTAAATATGAAAGAAAAATGACTAAGAATATGATAAATAGTATTCGTAGAGAAGCCCATATAATATTAATTTTCTCAAAAATCATTTTCTTGTTGTTGCCATCAAATTATTAGTTTGTATGAAAGATCATCGTCTTTATGCAAAGGTAGAGGCCTGTGGTCCTTGGTGTATTGGTCAGCTTGCTCCCCAGCCCTGGTTCACTCCCCAAGTCAACAAGAATCAATGGGCGACAGCTGGGAGGACTAACGTTGTTTTTCTTAGATAAATCACTAGACATTTCAATGCCTTGGTTTTTGATTCTTTTTAAAATGAAGGACATGGGTTTGATGATATTTAAGATTCCTTTAAAAATGTTAGTACTTCTATTTGCAAATGAATGGATTTCTGAACTTTTAATGTAAATCCTAGTATCTCTTGAAAGAAAAAAAATAGATTGCTTTTTATCCTTATTTATTGAGAACCATTTTATATAGGTTGCAGTAAAACTGTGACTTAAAAATGTGTTTTGGATTTTTTTCATTCTGATTCATTAATAATCATTTTATTTAGCTTAAAGAAAAGTTATGAATTTACAAATATGTTTTTAATTGTGGCTGACCTGGAGACCACCATTTATTTCATTAACTGGGGAATGAGTTCATAATGGACATTGCTATTTTAGTCGACTCCTTAAACTTGAATATAATGTATTATTTTTAAAATATCAATTTAAATCAGTTAAATACCATGTTTTATAGTTAGATCCACCATATGTAATGGTTTAATAATTGCTATTGTTAATTGTTAACTAATGATTGCTCATTGATTACATGTTGTATTCACTAAAAAAGATTAAAAATAAATCCCTAAGGTATAATACCGTTCTTGATGTAGTGAAAAATAGAATGAGAGAATGCATATTACAGAAAAAAAATTAAAAGAGAAAAATATTATATTTATTACTTAACAACTATTCCCACAGTAATATTTTTGGTTTTTAAATATCCAATTGACTATTCAGCAAGCTGAATACCAGGGACTCTGTTTCTTCAGCACAGAGAAGTTTGGCAACAATATTTAAGGCCATATATTTATGAGTAATTTTTAAGTTTATTTTTTACTTGACATGTATTAATTGTACATGTCTATGGACTAGAGAGTTATACAAGTATCTCATTACATGTGTGCAATGTGTGATGATCAAATCAAGGTAATTAGCATATTAATCATCACACAAATTTATTACTTCTTTGTGATTAGAGCATTCGAGCTCCTCTCAGCCGTTTGAAAACATACAGTAAATTATTGTTAATTGTAGATGCCTATTACTATCGTAGACCACTAGAACTTATTTTTCCTATCTAGCTCAAATTTTGTATCCATTAACTAACTTCTCTTTATTCCCACATATTTTTTAAGTTAACTTTTACCTTTATAAAATTACCAAAAGACAGATCATTTTTGAACTAATTGATCAATAGCTCCCTTCATCTCAGTCGCGTTTTCATCTCTAAATAAAATTATTTTATTTGCCAGGGAATCAGACATCCCAACGAAGAATGTCATTACCTTGAAGGTCCCTAAATGGTAACAAAGGTGATGGCAGTGGATAGTACCTGTAGCTCAACCATTAGCTGCAGCTGCTATTTCTGTTAAAAGTTAACCACAAAGCTACCAATTGCCGTTCTTGTAACTGTAGCAGGTGAAATCACATGTTTTTTTAAGGGGCCAAATATCTAAGTAAATAGCTCAACATTTGATAGGCATGTATAAAATATGAAAGTACCTTATCTTAACAGTGTAATGTTACTTTCATTTCTGAAGATCAATTTTCACAAACTTTAACAACTGATACCTTGAAAATGCCCCCTGGACTTAAGTTATGAAAGCTATTGACAGTTTGGTTTTGTTTTTCTTTAAAACACAGCTACTCATGAAGAGCTTCTAAGTTCAAAATGTGATTTTTTCTTTGCAAAATGAGTATCAAATGAAATTATTTTACTTCAAGTCTAAATAAATGTAAAGATAACTGTAAAATACTAATAGGACTATGCTAATACTAAAAGCTTAGCTTTGCAGTAGTATTTCATTTGTCTTTTAAAAGAATGGAATATATTTTACAAGATACACTTTTTTAGATTGGGAATAATATTGAAGACTATTTTAAGATCTCAGAATTTTAAAGTAAACCACTAATAGCCATTATTTATATTTGTTAAAGTTATCTAATTTATATAGAAAGATGGCAGTCTTTAAAAATTATGTGTAAGATTTGTAATGATGAACATGCTATCAATACTGATTTGATCATCACATATTGTTCTCAAATACTAATAGTTAACTCTATACTCAATAAATAGGTATAATCAATTATGCTTCAATTAAAAAATTATGTGTAAGTATTTTTTCCAGTTATCTTCTCTAAATTTTTAATGTTTGATTCCTGCGTTTGATATAATAAAATTCAAAATAAATCATATCAAACCTTAGTCCCAAGAAGGAATATTAATGGCTGGTGTCGGATCCAAGAGAGTGAGGCAAGAACATGTTAGGACCTGGAATCACCGGCAGAAATGGTAACTGCCAATGGTGAGAGGTAAAGCACTTCAGAGAATTATCCATGGTGTGGGGGACAAACTCTTGGAATCAAGATGGCAACAATGTATTTTCCCACGGATCACTGTAAATGCTTCTGTTTGTATATATTTCTATCAATATATTTCACCTCTCCCTTGCAAGGGATGGTGACCTGTCTTATTTTCTGCTGTGTTGTTCGTGACCAGCACATGCCTGTTTTGTGATAGATTCTAAACACTGCATGAACAAATGTTGCAATCCCTGACCATATCTTAGGCAAATGGATCCACAATCTTGCACTTCTTGGTAGATAGAATCATGAAACTAGGGATCAGGATAAATGACGGAATTAAAGGGTGCCACTTACCTGTGCTAATTAGTTCAAATATCCTCTCCTAGATAATTCAGACCCTAGGTTATTGAGAGAATTTAGAGAAGCCTTGCTGAAAGCTCTTCAGTAATATCTGAGGAATTGTGGAGTAGAGGAGATAAACTGGACAACTAAGAGAAAATATCCAGGTTTTCAAGAAATGGAATATGAAGTTATTAATTTTTGATTAGTGAGATGACACTGACTTGGGGAAAAAGGGTAGCTGACATCGAACAGATGACCTAAAGTACCCTTAATCAAAAATATAACCTTCGCACGTATTAGAATATGATGATGAAACATTCTAGATCTGTGAATACAAATGGTTGACCAAAGATACATTCAGAAATGTTTAGTTTCAACTCAATAATACTTAAATTTATTTTCTCTTAAAAAAAAGAAATACTTTTCTGTACCTGAAATGATGGAGTTTGACAAAATCTCATAGAATATATAAGATCAAAGACATCTAGAGCTATATCTTGGGATCACCTAGTATCAATTTTTCAGTGTAAATTTTTTTATAAATAGTATAAATTTTTTCAGTTTTTTAAAAATTCTGAGAGGGAGAGATTTTATTAGTTGACTCAAGATCATATAGCTAGTTAGTGCATATGTAAGTGATCCAGATTCCACGCAGGAATAATGTGTGCCTTTATAAAAATATATTTACATAGCTGCAACATATTTTTAAGATATTTATTGCATTTATTGAGCACACAGGCATACTCTAGAAATACAAGTTTGCATAGTAGTAAGGAAAATTATTAGCTGACTAACTCTGTAACATTGGGCAGTTTCTTCACTTCTGTAACTTCAATATGTACGTGCACTTATGTAAACACACATATAATTTAAAACAATGTCTCATACTTGTGTGTTAGTTATTTTGTAATAACTATTAAAATATAGAAGGGGCTTACTCAATTTGTATGCTCACTACTTACAATGAGAAATCTTTTTGGAATAACCAAATTGTTTCTAGTCTGTGATACTGTTTCCTAATGTGCCTTTCATGTCATATTTAATTGGTGCCAATCTAGATTCTCCTTACTCTTGATTTAGTGTTCCTGCACAAACACACTCACATGCACACATGTTTACACACACTCACTCACATATACTTACATAAGCATGCGTACTCACATATGCAGATTCTCTTACAAATACATTTATAATTTCTCTCTCTGTCTCTCTCTCCCCCTCACACACACACACACACACACACACACAAGCACACACAGATTCGGCATGTTGGTTTCCATATAGACAAAGTCATAAAATTATAGATGAAAGATAATTTAGAATTTTTAAAAATTCTATTAAGCTAAAAATTATAAGTTTGAATTATAAGGTACTCAGATCAGTTATGTTTTACTTCATTTATGTCTCTCCAGTATTTTAAGGACTTGCATACATATGAAAATTCACACTTATATAATGTAATGATATTTACTAATTTCTGAAGTACAGTAATGATTATATTCTTGATGGCTGTCAGACCAGATTTTGGAACCATTCTTAAATTTACTTCATTTATGTCTCTCCAGTATTTTAAGGACTTGCATACATATGAAAATTCACACTTGTATAATGTAATGATATTTACTAATTTCAGAAGAACAGTAATGATTATATTCTTGATGGCTGTCAGACCAGATTTTGGAACCATTCTTAAGTCAGCAATTTTCAGCCTTTGAAATACATATAAATATATGTGTGTGTATATTTCAAAGCACTTCCTACATGAAAACTTAGTATGCATTCAATATGTACCAAAGATGGACAGTGGATTGTATTGATTGAATCTGGATCGTGGGACCCAGAATCCTAATTTACTGAATCCCTTTTCTCAAAGCCTCTCTCCACCTCTAAAGAACTCCAAGTTCTGTCCCAAAAGCTTGAAAACCAAGATCTTGACTTTTTATCGAACATTTCTCTCTGTGCCAGGAACTGTGCTAAGCACTTTACCTATGTCATCAAAGTTTAGTTTTTAGAAAATGCTCTACGACACATGTTATTATCCTGAATTTAAGATGAAGGACTGAGGCCAAGAGGAATCAAGTCCCCAAATTCACCCAGCTGATAAGTGGCAGACCAGAATTTGAACTCTGTTATCCCTAATTCTAAAACTCATAATATTTACAACCCTGCAAGAAAGTTGGAGATGGTTCTTATAGGTTGTATTTGTAGCTACTGTGGATCTTTTCTTAAAGGAAGTGGTGTAGAGAATGATGTTGCTATCCAAAACCAGAAGTGATCGATTCCTAACTATTGAGTCTGCCTGTCTAAACCATTGTGTCAACTCATTTGAGCAATTCAATATCATCTAAATTCTGTTACTAAAAGGTGAAACTAGAGGTATAACAGTTATTTAGTACTTAATTTTGTATACTATTTTATGTTTTTACCAGTTGTTCATTCATTTATTTGCCTAGTTGTCTTCTATTTCTCACACATTTCTTGTCAGATAATGATAATCCTACCTATTGCATCTCTTTCTTTTCTATCCTCCATTCCCTTGGAAAAGGAGAAACCAGAATTTTATTGCTCTTCCATCTCTCCTCATATTCATCCTCATCACTCTTGGATCTGATGAAGTTTTTATAACATAACTATGAGAAAAATGCCCTGGTTATTTTCTAGCTAAATGGATGAGTGGGTTTCTCTCCATGACTTAATTTTGTGATCCAACTGGGGAAGCTTTCAGTTTTATTAGCAGCTGTCTTCCCTTTCCTTATCAGGACTTCAGCTTTTAGCACCTAGTTCAAAAGAGAAAACACATGGTTTGAAGTTATTATTTAGACTTCACATATGCTTTCTTCTAAACAATTTTTCTTATGTAGAGAAACAAACAAATACCTCTGTCTAGTATCTTTCAAACAAAGCTGTTAATATAATTTGCAATCTATGTAAACACGACATCTGAAAGGAATGATTATTTAGTTTCAGTCACAAATAAGAAGTGCTGATAGGAGTGGAAATGGAAAGAGAAGATGTGTGTATTTTTCTTCCTGGAAAGGCTGAGGGTCGACTTTAAAGGGGAAAATTCTGAGTGTTTCTTAATACAACATGTGAACTTCTTTATTTCCCCCAGACATTAGTTACCAGTATGTAAACATTTTGGGAAGAAATTTTATACCACCCCATCTATATGTCGGGTGGCATTTAATGGTTGAATGACAGTTCCAGGTCTTGGCAGTTCTTCACTAATGCACAAATCTGGGGATTAAAATGACAGTTGATCAGTGGAACTTTTCTAGTGCAAACCTCACGGCTCCTATTTAAAATCAGTTACTATCAACAAGTCGAATGATCTTTACTTCAACTTTATGTTTTCCTATAAAGATTTCACAACTTTCCCTATGGGGATGTTCTGTTGTTTGGATGTTGTGTGCAAGGTTCTGGTCCATTTTGGTATGACTAGTTGCATGGATTCTTAGTATGCATTTTAAATAGTATCTTGCAGACACATGGGGCATTCATGCATTTTTTTTTTCTCCCCTTGTAGGTAGAAATAACACTTCAGGATATCAATGACAATCCACCAGTATTTCCAACAGACATGCTGGATCTCACTGTAGAGGAGAACATTGGAGATGGCTCTAAGATTATGCAACTAACAGCCATGGATGCTGATGAGGTAGCTCAGAGCATGTCTCTGAATTTTTGAAACCTACTATTGCCGTGAATTATCAAATTTCTAACATATGTTGACAAGTTTTATTACCCAATAATTAAGGTTAAGCATTGTGTGTTCCTTTCCAAAGAACATTAATTCTTGAAATGTGATATAAGAATGGTAAGAGAGAGACTAACAGGAGGTAATTTTTCTTTTATTGGCTAATTCACAACTCAGTTAATGGCTGGTAGCATTTTAAATATCTGAGTCAAATTATTTTATTTTCTCAAATACTAAAAATGTCCAAAGACATATCTCATTTTTTATGCCTGTATCATTCCAATTTCCTGTCTTATCACAGCTAAGAATTGATTTTTATTTTATTTTTAATTGTAAAATTCAAATATTTAAAATTACAAAATTTTAAGGCTACCTTACAATTTTTTCGTTTAATTTGCATGCATATATATGTATGTGTGTGTACACACACACACACACACACACACGCACACACACACACACATATATATTTAAAACAAAATATATAGTTCAATAATATCCCTATAAATTTTAAGAATATTATCTGGCCAAGCTAATGATTTTTCAATTCTTTTAATAAACAGATATTACATGTGTAGAGGTAAATGTGAAATTTGGGGAGACATTTTAGATTACCATCACATATATTAAGTTTAGCTATTTAATCATCATGCCCCTAATGCCATAGAAACTTATATGAGGGGTCTTCAAACAGTTCATGGAAAGAGTCATATTCTCTTTTAATTCCATTTTTCCATGAATATTTTGAAGTATCCTTGCATAATTTGTAATTTACATTTTTTTCCCATGAAAAAAATGTATAGCTTGTTTTCTCCATCTCCTGGGTAAAGGCTTTAATTAATGCTCTGGAGCTGAGGAAAGAGGAATGAACTTCCCAGACACCAGTATCCTCCTATTCCAAGCCCAACACAGAACAGGGAATTTAATTTCCCTACCCTCAGCTTAACTTCAGGAATATCTGAAAATGTGATTTTTGGCCTATGAGTAAGCTATTAACAAATTTATTTTTCTAATTTTAAAAAGGCAAATAAATAAATAACAGTCTAATTTTAACAGCCAGTACAGAAATGTAATGACAGTCATTTATAAATTTTGCCAAAATCTAACTGGTAGAGGGAACTGGATAAAGCATAGACATTTTGATAACTGCAATTTTCTATCAGAAAAGATTTGATATTTTAAGTTTAGTACCTTCTACTCAATTTTATATAAAGTTCACATTTATTTCAAATTTAGCTGTCATTACAAGACACATTATGGAAAACTTCTATTATTGACAGATATGTGATATCATTAGCTATAATTTAGTAAATACTTCATTTTATAAAGCTTATCATTGATAATATAGATTTGGATATGTCAATTTATAAAATTTCATTTGGAAAAAGCAACAAGAACAACAAAAGAAGTTCATGTAATTGACATGAGACAATCCACATCAAATAATTGAAATTGTAATGGCGATTTTATTGGCTATGCTCTCTGTAGTAATAGAGCAAATAAAACTCATTTATTTGAAGTGATTTATATTCATTACCTCAAAATAATGAAGCAATAATAATGTTAAGTAAAATATATATACTAACGGGATGGTTGTTTACTCCATGGAATATTATAATTAGAGTGGTATTATTACATACAAATGATAGTGAAACACATAAAATTATCTAAACATCATGCTACTCTTTTCAGAACTGATTATTTCAGAGATGCCAACTTGCACCCTTTTAATACTATTCTCTTGATACTGTTCACTCCCTATTTTTTCCTTTCAAGAATGTTACAAATAACTGTTACTATAAACTCAATGCTGCCAGTATGTTTAATTTTCTACTGTGACTTTTCTGTGTGTGTGTGTGTGTGTGTGCATGCACAAGCTTGCCTTCAATTTCATGCTTTCAGATATGAGATTTGAGAAAGGCTGGGAAGGTCCTTATGTCACTAAGTATTTACACCAACACTTCTATTAGTGAATTTTGTTTTATTTCTATTGGGCTTTATTTTTTAAGTTTAAAATAAGTAATCACGCAGGTGTTATCACTTAGAAATTCTAGTTTTAAAAAGCACTGAATGTAAAGTAATGATGTCTTGGATATGTAAAAAGTGCATTTGGAGTGAGACAGGGTGGGGAGTTCAGGGGCAGGAAAGTATAAGGGTATAAAATGGTGAATAGACAAGGGAAATGGAGGGAGGGTTGTTAGCAATTTAAGAGGAGAGAGGGATGCTGACAGTATGTGCAGACTGTGACTGTACCTGAAGGCATAAAGATCGCCACACACTTTGTAACTGGATTGTACACATAACTTTGTAACATACTCTGTGTGTGTGTGTGTGTGTGTGTGTGTGTGTGTGTGTGTGTGGTGAGAGAGAGACACAGAGACATACACAGAGAGAGAGAGAGAGAGAGGGAGTGCATGTGTGTAGAAAGGCAGAAGAGGATGGAAGTGTGTAAGTAGGTGCACCTACAACTTTAAAGGAAAGAGGGACATTTTTGTAAAACTGCTTTAGGACCATTATATTTTAAAGATGAAGCTCATGAGGTTGCTTTCCATCTTGAATACATTTTTTCTTAAAATGTTTAATAGTGTTTTAGTAACTACTGACTATTTCAACTATTTCAACTTTTAAAAAAAAAAATTGTTTCAAATCTTGACACGAGGCCTTCTGCCAAACAGAATGAATATTCAGGATTCCTATGGCATTCAGAGTTTTTGGCTGTTTCCTCTTTTAGAGTGGTTTACAATAAATTAATATTAATGCTTTTAGATAAATCTTTTCTATTTTCTACTTTGTTCTCAGCTCCTTACCTCTTAGTTGAATTTGGAAGAAAAATATTTGAAATGTTTCTCTTTTACCAAGTCTAGCATTTAGTGGCTAGCATTAAATATTGCACAACTATTTCATAGATTGATTTAGAAAGATTAATAGAATTCTTTAAAACACTAAGATTATGTAGATCATAAGCAAATTATGTATCAATATATTTTTAAATTATTTATCTACTTTTCCTTAATTACTTAACCTCACACATAAGTGTTAATATGTTAGAGAAACTCTTATACAGCACTGGAGAATAAAACATAGGTAAAGGAATTACAGTTTTAGAAAGAAACATGTACACGTTTAACTTAATTTAAATATCATTTGAAACATGTGTTGGATCAAGATATATATCTTTCAGAAACATGTGACTCTGTTGGTCTCTTGTTCCCTTTTATAAATAGAATTATTATGCTAGTAATGGGCCAGTATACTCAAACATTGTTTCATTACCACACTTGTTTTTGAAAATACCACTTAAGGTTGTAAAATGCATTTGTAATTTATAGCTATTTACTTTTAGAATTCCTTCCATGTGCTTTTGTCTCTGTGGTTCCTCAGGAGAGTCAAATATTTTTAACCAGTATTATTTCCACTGCACTCCCACTGAAACACGATATTTATTTCTTGTGTTGCTGATATGGCATATTTAGGATATTAAATAAATAAATAAACTTTAGAAAAGACCTAATTAAATCATTACTTTTGGCCAGACATTTTCAGACATTCACTAGTACTATCAATTGACCACATCAGCTGATACTGAATAAAAAAAGATTGTTTTATCATAATAGCCTGATGTCTTTGCTTCCTTCCAGATGTTAAAAGACTGTGAAGTTTGTATCCTTCATCACCAAATCCACATGGATTTTTCAATTTTAATTCTCTGATAAGAAGAATGATCACAACTTTAGGAATATTGTTAATTATTACAGTCATTTTGTAGGCAGGGCCTTTCTAAATATCAAACCCTTTGTGTAGCAGCTTTAAATAAGTTTTTTGTTTCTTGGCTTGATTTCCAAGTACTTACCATTTTAATAGATCAGAATTGAACGTGGCTGCTTTCATACCTGGGCTACTTTATTAGAATAATTGAATTCCCAGGAAAATAGAACAAATAGTATAGAATGTGGTCAGATTAGAGGTCTAAAATTCTTATTGAATGTTTTTGTTAAACCATAAAATTACAACAAATATGTCAGATACTCCATGTACACCTGAATATACAAGATAAATATGGGTGATGTGTTAGACTCAGCTGTTCCATTATTAAATTAAAATATGCTTTGAGGCAGTCTCTTTACAAAGTTTTAAGATTGGCTTGGGGAATGCAGTATAAAAAGATAGTAAATGCCACTAAACATAAATTTCAAAAGAGGGAATGTTTTTGCCTTAGACTGTTAGAAATCATTCCTTTATATGTTTGACTATGAAGGAAAAAACATGCAGTCTATGATGGCAAATATGTATGGAAACTGTTTCCTTTTCTGGCCTCTGTCCACTTCAGTCCCTCCTGTGATATCAATAGCCTTGAAAAATTGCTTGCAGTTAGAACAAGATCAGGGGTTTCTTGGTTGCAGAATTCAAGCCCATTTGTGTTACACTTGATATGCTCCAAAATATATACATAACCTCACATGTTAGCTTGATTTTCTCCTTTTGTTCTAGATTAAAACTCTCCACTGTAACCTGTTCAGCACTGAGTAAGCCAAGCACATCAGTCTCCTTCTCTCTGCACTTTTGCTTGCATTCATTACTCTTAGTTTTTACTTAAAAAAAAAAAATCCATTCTACAAAATCCAGTTCAGCTCATACTCTCCATTATATCTTCCCTAAATAAAGCAGCTCAAATTGATCCCTCTCTTCTTGGTTCTTACAGTGCTATTGCAAGCCTCCTCCATTTAGCACTTGCCCTGTCGTTTAATCATCTCTCACTCTGTATCAGAAGGAACAGGAGCTCAGAGTCTGGTAGACTTGGGTTTGAAGTTCACACTTCGAACACTTACCATGTGCCTGTGCATAAGTTAACTAGTATCTCAGGACTCAGTGTCCTCATTGCTGAAATCGTACCCATGGAGTTGTAAACTAAAGTGAGATAATACCTGCATAGGGCCGTCACAGTGCCTGAGACAGACAAACTTTTAGTCAACTTTCCAGTTACTGTCATTAGAAGTAATAGTATCATTGGTATTTTCCACAGTGGCAACTTCACTCTTTTCCATATGTATATTTTATGAGTTAAAAAAATTAAGGTAATACTGAAAGTGGAGATTTGTTGTTATTTAATGGAGTGAATTAAATAGTTGAAATAGTCAGTAGTTACTAAAACACTATTTTTAACTTTTTTTGTTTTTTTGTCTTTTTCGTGGGTAAGGGGATCGCAACCCTTGGCTTGGCATCTCCTGCACCACGCTCAGCCAGTGAGCGCACCGGCCATCCCTATATAGGATCCAAACCTGCGGCGGGAGCGCCACTGCGCTCCCAGCGCCACACTCTCCCGAGTGTGCCACGGGGTCGGCCCTGTCTGTTACCTTTTTAATGTTTATTTCGTTATAAAGAGAATGCTTAACACGATATCTGTCCTATTAACAGATTTTTAAGTGTGCGATACAGTATTGTTAACTATAGATGTAATGTTGTACAGCAGATTTCTAGAACTTATTCATCTTTCATAACTGAAAATTTCTACCCATTTCCCCCACCCAAGCCCCTAGAAAACATCATTTACTCTCTGTCGTATAAGTTTGACTATTTTAGGTACCTCACATAAATGGAATCATGCAGTATTTGTCCTTCTGTGACTGGCTATCTCGATAATATAATGGTTCATCTGTATTGTTGCTTATGGCAGGATTTCCTTCCTTTTTAAGGTGAATTTCCCTGTATGTGTAAACCACAGTTTCTTTAACCATTCCTCCATTGACGGACATTTAGGTTTTTCCAATCTTGACTATTGTGAATAGTACTGTAGTGAACATGGAGGTGCTAATATCTCTTTGAGATCCTGATTTCAATACTTTTGGATTAATACCCAGAAGTAGGATTGCTGGATGATATGGTGGTTCTATTTGTAATCTTTTGAGGACCCTTCGTATTGTTTTTTATAGTGCTGCACATTCTGTATTCCCACCAGTAGTGCACAACGGTTCCAGTTTTTCCACATCCTTGCCAACGCTTGTATTTTTTTTTGTTTGTTTGTTTTTAATAATAGCCATCCCAATAGGTGTGGTGTAACATCTCATTTTGGTTTGGGTTTGCATTTCCCTGACACTGAGCATCTTTTCATATATCTGTTGGCTATTTATTTTTATGTTTTCTTTGGAGAAATGTCTATTTAAGCCCTTAGCCCTTTTTAAATTGATTATTAGATTTTTTTACTATTGAGTTGTAGGAGTTAATTATATATTTGAAAATTAACCCTTTATCAGATAGTCTGCAAATATTTTCTCCCATTTTGTAGGCTGACTTTCCTTTACTATGCAGAAGCTTTTTAGTTTGATAAAGTCTCACTTGTCTATTATTACTTTTGTTGCCTGTGCTTCTGGGGTCCTATCTATGAAATTACTGCCATGACTAATGTCACTACTGGTTTGTTGTCATCTATGAAATCATTGCTGAAACTAATGTCACAGGAAAAGGAAAACTTTTCCTATGTTTCTTTCTATAAGTTTTACAGTTTCAGGTCTTATGTTTAAGTCTTTAATCAATTTTGAGTTGATTTTTATGTAAGATAAGGATCCAATTTTAATCTTTTGCATGTGGATAGTCAGTTTCCCAACATCATTTGCTGAAGAGACATATCCTTTCCCTATTGCATATTCTTGGCACCCTTGTAAAAGATGAGTTGACCATTACACATGAAATTATTTCTGGGCTTTCTATTCTGCCCATTGGTCTATATGTCTGTCTTTATACCAGTACCATTCGGTTTTAATTACTGTAGCTTTGTAGTATATTTTGAAATGAGGACATGCCATGCCTCCAGCTTTGTTCTTCTTTCTCAAGATTGTTTTGGCCATCCAGGGTCTTATGTGGTTTCATATGAATTTTAGATTTTTTTAAAATTTCTGTAAAAAAATGTCTTTAGGATTTTGATAGGGATTGCATTGAATTTGTAGATTCCTTTGAGTAATAGACATTTTAACAACATTAATCCTTCCAATGCATGGACATGGATGTCTTTCCATTTGCTGTGTCTTCTATAATTTCTTTCATCAGTGTTTTGTAATTTCCAATGTACAAATCTATCACCTTTTTAGTTAAGTTTATTTCCTATTAATTTTTGAAATCTTATAGTATGACATGAAATGAAAACCAAAATGCCTAGAGCTGTATTAGCTCAGTTTGTTAGAGTGTGGTAGTGATAACACCAAGGTCTGGGGTTTGATCCCTTACTAGCAGCAAAACAAAACAAAAGCCTCACTTTTTCAAACACATGTTAAAAAGAAAATTACTGTTCTACTTCCAACAGTTTAGATGCCCCATCTCTTTTCTTAGGGTGCAAATGCTCTGGTCACATACACTATCATTAGTGGAGCTGATGATAGTTTCCACATAGACCCAGAATCCGGAGATCTGATAGCAACCAAGCGATTGGACAGAGAACGCCGTTCCAAATATTCGTTGCTGGTTCGTGCTGATGATGGTCTTCAGTCTTCAGACATGAGAATTAATATCACCGTCAGTGATGTGAACGATCACACACCTAAGTTCTCCAGACCTGTGTACTCTTTTGACATCCCAGAGGATACAACCCCTGGTAGGTGACATGTCAGGAAGTGTATTTTGCAGTCTTGTACTACAATTATGTACCCTGTTTGGCTACTCTTAATTTAGTGACTAGTTTTTATCACATGCTACTAGTTATAAAAATAAATATGCTAGATTTTTAGATCTTTCAATTAACCATCTTTTCTACAATTTCTGAACAAATTACTAAAATTTTTAGAGCAAACAAGGTTAGCTATTTATCTGATTACGAATTACAGATATTTCTGTTATTGAAAGTATTTGTGACATGGGTTAGTTTTTCTGGCAACTACAATTTTAGATACTTTTTTTACACTGTAAAAATGCCTAATGTGATTACGCTGCTGTGTACAAAAAAGAGCAAAGAAAAGTCCATGAAAAACTGAAAAACTGTGAAAACTCATTCTAACACTAGCTGTGTGACCCAGGGCAAGTTAAATTCATTTCTCTAGCTCAATTCCTTCTTCTGTAAAATGGAAATAATAATTCCTGTTAAAATTAGGGTAAAGGTTGATTTAGAAAATATATGTGAGTTTTCCAACATGAGGCTTTGGGATTAGCAAGTGATCAGTAAATGTTACTAGAATCTGAATCTTGAAATATATTGAGTCTGAGTACTCAATATTCATGTTTCTTGTGTATGTGCATGCTTCCTTTCTGTTATTGGAAGTTGTTATTTAAAATTGAAATTTTATTCTGAATTACATTTGGAATGAGTTTGTATGATAAGACATATGATTTGGAAATTCCATTTGGCAAAGAAATTAAACATTTATAGGGGACTACTTCTCCTTGCAGTTTTACCTGCACTCCCCAAGATGTGTTACAAATGTCCTTCCTAAGGTTCCCATCGTTTATTTTTTGTCTTAAGTACTGCAATGACCACATGAGCTATAGAGTGGTATCCTCCATGTATAAACCTGTATTATTGATTGGAATTCCCACATCCTGACACTAGCAATGGGCTACAATATATGTTCATTGAATTCATCAATATGTTTATGAATTGCTAGTGCTAGGTGGAAAATAATGTCAGTAGTGGGGTTAATTCTGTAGAACATTTGCACTGTAACGTAAGATCCACTGGATATCTAATATGCTACATGTTTTATTGATACATGGGAATGTTGGTGTCAGGGTTAATGTAGGTATCTTTAGGACATTGTGTTCACTATTTTTTCACAGTGGTTTTCTACTTAAGATATTTTACTGTAAAAATACATTTTTTGGTGATTTTGTTTACAATCTCTTAGCAATACCCCTTGCTCTATTATATTTAGATTACTAATATATTTATTTTTGATAGGTTCTTTGGTAGCAGCCATTTTAGCTACAGATGATGACTCTGGAGTGAATGGAGAAATTACATATATTGTGAGTGAAGACGATGAAGATGGCATATTTTTCCTGAATCCGGTTACTGGAGTCTTTAATTTGACTCGAGTATTAGATTATGAAGCACAGCAATATTATATCCTCACTGTTCGAGCTGAAGACGGTGGGGGACAGTTTACTACCGTCAGAGTTTATTTCAACATTCTAGACGTAAATGATAATCCACCTATTTTCAGCTTGAATTCATATAGCACATCTTTAATGGAGAATCTACCTCTAGGATCTACTGTTCTTGTGTTTAATGTTACTGATGCAGATGACGGTATGTAATTTATTTAATATCCTTCAAACTACTTAATTAAAAATGTCATTGGATTTATATTATCTTTATTTACTGAGTTCAGCTGTCACGAAATTGCATTTTGTGAATATATGTCTAAAACTGAGGAATAGAATTATAGCTTAACTAGAGAGGATTTTAAAAATTACTTTACCAGCTAAATTCTTATTTATGAGTTATACAACATGTTTTATCATTTTATAAACTTTATAAAATTTATCTTCCTTTTTTTCCCCCTAAATGTGTGATAGTATTGCAGTTTAGTAATGTGGAAGTCATAAGACAACTTCTTGGTAGGCTTTTGTTAGAAAAATAAAAGTATTTGAGTTTACATATATTATTTTAACTTAAATGGAAAAAAATGGGAGCAAAAGGAAACCAAATCCTTAAAGAGAAATACTTAGGAATGCATAATTAAATTTTATATTTGTGATTGAAAATTGCTAATAATATTTAAGCAAGCTTTCATGCTTTGACTCAAAGGACAGTCTCAGATCTATTTAACTTATGCTATGTAATCGAGTTGAGATTTTGCATTAAATCTATACATGTGTTTGTTTTATATTTATTGCAAAAGTATTTGGCAAACTTTATTTTAAAAGCTAACTCCTGGACTTTCTTGTAATATCTGTTTTGTAAATACGCATATCAGATAATATAGCATTAGAGATAATATTGTACAGATTTAACTGTATTGTTTGGAAAGTTGATACCTTGTTCTCCCTTCCATTGGGTGCGACTAAATGTCTTATCAATAGCAAAACAAAGTACAGTTCTTTGAGGAGGAAACAGTCTCTAGCCCAAGGATTAACCTAGTGACACAGGCATAGCAACCTTAATTTAGAATTTCCTGATTCTTACTGACTTGGATGATTTATGTAATTTCAAAATACCATTTTGTCTTAACATTCTACTCCACACTTTGTTTCCTTTCTGGAGTGTTGAGAAATGTCACTTAGAAAGATATAGAAGGTGAAAGCATAGTATTTTATATATTTTTCAATAAAAAAATTGGAAATGCTTTCTTTAGAACTTATTGAGTAAGTGCATTTTGAAGTTTCCCCTTTTATTCGAGCACAGTTAAAATTGGACAGATGAATATAGATGATGTGGCTGTAATACTAGTACTACAGCTATTACTACTACCCCTGCTAATAGTAACAGTGATAACAATTACGGACATTCGTCAGGTGTTTAGTACGTACCCAGTCCTGGTCTAAGAACATTGCACACTCTACTTCATGTACCTCATCAGGTTTGTGGGTTGGCTTTAATTAGACACCTATACACAATTGAGGTTATTCTTTATTCTGGATGTTGATTTCTCCATTATCATATCTTTTAGTTAGTTTATTTGTTCCCCCAATATAAATATTTTCATTATCACTTATACATTTTCAGTACCATTTATACCTTCTTATCTGCCCCTGTGACTGTGCTCAACATTCCTGTAGTGAAGAATATTCCACCATGTTTCTTTGTGATTTACTTACTATGCATTAGAGCCCGTTGTTTCATAGATCGTGTGCTTCCCTGAAATAAATTTCTTTTATCCTCATAAATGTCGGGGAACTGGGAAAATAGCACAAAAGAAACTTTCTTTGTCAAAAACCTGCTGGAATATTCCATGTACATGTAAGAACAGACCGACATTAACCATTGACTCTAAGTCACTTTTCATGAATTTTATTTCCTTTAATTGTGCAGAGTAGAAGTTTCAACCTACATTTATCTATTGTTTCAGTCTTGAATATTTTTATCAGTGTAATTTCCTGTAGCTTGACCTAAAATATAGGACACAGTTTCTATTCTTTCTGAATTTCAAGGATAATGATAAGACTATACAAGGGTAACATTGTTTGTAAAAATTGCCAACTCAGTTATACTAAACAGTTCTCAAGGTAGTTTACAAACAATATTATTCACCCATTTTTAAATTAACAAATTAATCTTAATTTCTGATCAGAAGATTCCTGATTAGGTAGTATTGTCATCTTCTTAGGTGAAGAAATTTTATATAAAAATAAATTTAACATTTTCTGTTATCTGTACATTCTCTCAGAGTTGAACCTTTAAAGTTTTAGGTTGCATGATAATTTCATAAGAATAAAGCAAATACTTTACTGTTTTTATAAGATAGGTAATACCTATATTACTCTCAAGGCTTTAATGCATACAATTAAAAAGTATTATATTGAGGAACACCATTATAAATTGGAGCATCAGGGAAATATCTTGACTTTGATAATTATTTATTTTTCTAAAAATTATATACACTTTAAAATATTGGGGAGTTTTATAAGGATGTTTTGCTAATAATAATTGAAATTTTTGCTGGGTTAATGAACCCATATATACTTGGTGCACAATGCAGACCATTTCACTAGTGAATGAGTTTCGTATTCCAGTGATCTAATGACCTTGTTGAAACTACTTCATAAAGATAAATGCTATTGAAACACTTCCGTGTGGTGCAGCTGCATAATAAATAGATAAATTTTAGTTCTTTTTAGAAATAAAGCAAAATTTAAAGATTGTGAATGAATGTACACATTTTATAACATAAAACTATATACCTGTAGTTTTAAAATGTATTTTATTATTTACATCTATATTTTTATGTATTTATTTTTTTATGTATTTTATGTGCTCTGCTTACTGGAACTAAATTATTCACAAGACTGAAATCCACATATACAAAATATATGTGTGTGTGTGTGTGTGTGTGTGTAGTTATGACACAACCACACAAACACAATAAAACTACCAGGAAGAATCATGTAACTAAATGACTTTCTGAGCATTGAACATAAATGGTTGATAATGTAGGCTGTTTTAAGTTTAAAGATCTAGTGGGCTATAAAAGCCCACTAAATTCAAGTTCCAATACTTAATGGACAAAGTTTAGAATTTAAAAATAATGGATTTACTGTTTCATGATTTGGATATTTTCTGCAAAGAGCAGAGAAAGAGAAAAAAATGATCCAAATTTAGTATTTTTCAAGATACTACAAAAGCTCAGGGAAAATTTTGAGTTTTAGTACATGCACGTGTATTTACTAGATGTAGACAAGTGCCCAAAGTCAATTATTAGACTTGTCAGGAATGCAAAGTCCTTTCTTTAAACTAAAGTAAATGTAGATGGCTTCCATGGCCTGTAATTGCAGCAATCAGGTTTCAGTTCCTGAGATGAGAGCTATTTCTTAGATAGGATTGCAATATTTTATACAAAAATAGTTACATTTTTACGTTTGTTTTCTCAGAGATAATTATCTTCAGTTCATTTTTAATGTTGTTACCTAATATATTTGTCATTTTGGATTTGAATATAAAATCAAATTTTCCTTATTTCATAATTATAGTTAAAGTTTAAAATTTATTACTTCCTCTACTTATCCATTCACCAAACATTTTCTCTTTATGAAAGGGGCTGTTCTGCTCTTTACAAGGCTGTAAAATCTTGGTATCATGTTCTCTTTTTGCCTCTGCAATTTAGTTGTTTACTCAAGGAAGTAGTATACATGGTGGACTAAGGATGTTCAGATCCTTGATTTAATTGCTCCCATTCCAGTTGATTTATGTAGAATGTTAGGTCATGACTTTGTAGCTATATGTGAAATTTCGTCATTATTTCTAATGTCTTTCGACCTTGGATATGAAAGATATTATGTGCTTTCATAGAATTAAATTTTATACCTCTGCTTGATGGTATTATTTTTATTCAGATGTTTATGTAACTATGTTTCTTAATAACAATCATGTCTGAGTTTGGGTCTCAGAAGAATAAAGGTTCAATATTTACTGGTGTACTTTGTCATAGGAAATGCAGAAACTTTCCTCAGAAAGTAATAACAAGTAGTTAGACTACACACACATACTCTCTCTCAACATATATATATATGTCTATATACACATACACACACACACACACACTGACACGCACACACAAGTATAATCAAAAATAAAAAGTTCCGCAATTGATATATATATATATATATATGTTGGTACAACTTTTTATCCTTTGAAACTTGTGGAATTTTAAGACAAGGAGTTGAATGAAGTAGGCTGGTGATCTTGTTCTATCCAGATCTGAAAATTCTCTTTCTTTCCTGCTGGTGAATTGACCTGTTGGTCCTGTTAGTTTTATTTATTCGTATTTTTTTCTGATCCTCAGGCTTCTAAGTATTCTGAACTATATAACCACTACTTTTTTCATTTGTGAATAGTCTAAATAAACTGTGAGAATTAAAAGCCATGACTCATCATAAGGGGAAAATTCCCTAGTTTTTCAAAGATCTACCCAATCATTGTTTATTCTAGAAATTTTTGACAATAAGCCAGTGTCTGAAATCTATGTTTATAAATATTTTTCCTCTTCATGAACATATAGGCAAAGAACATTTTCTGAAATGAAGATTTTTGTATCATTTTTTAATTAAAAAGCAACACATGTTCCTAGGAAAAATAGATATTTTCTAAATATAGTCCAAGAATAGCATAAGCATTTATATTTGAAGACTTTTATGTAATATTTTACTGCTAACAATTCCTTTGAAGAATACTTTTTAAAAACTTTAAATATATATAATAAAATTTGAAAGACAACTATTTTCTTAAAGGCCATTAGTCAGCTAGATACTTAATAGGAATTAATAAGTATTTATTGGTTCTGACAAGAAATGTAAAAGTAGACTTAAAACATCCATGACTAATGCCATACATCAGAACATTTTATTACCCTTTCTGAAAACTGGTGTTGGTCTCAATAAATTATTGAAGTTATAAATGTTTGGCTAATAGTACAGAGTGTGGCACTGTTAGTGATGGACCCTTGGGAATTATGTGATAGAAACAAGAAAATGTGTAGAAAAATATCCACTCTCTGGAATATTTTTTTTCATATTTACTTTTGTAATTTAACATTTCAACACTGTTGTAAATAGCAAGCAGTATATAGATCATTTGTTCATCAGACTGTAAACATCTTTTAAGATCAAAAGTTAATAGGAAAAGAGTCGTGTTTGTATTATTTATTTTCAAAATTAACGGCAGCTAAATCATTCATGAAGTGTGTTTGAGTATGCAATATATCAAACATGAAAAATTCCATGCCAAAATTTTCGGCACAGCTTAGTCTGCAATCAGCACACATTTAAGAAAATTTCGTTTTTTCCTTCAATTTCAGGCATCAACTCCCAACTGTCTTACAGCATTGCTTCAGGTGATAGCCTTGAGCAGTTTACAGTGGACAAGAATGGTGTCCTGAAAGTCTTAAGAGCTTTGGATCGGGAAAGTCAGTCCTTCTACAACCTGGTTGTTCAGGTGCATGACCTGCCACAACTTCCAGCCTCCAGATTTACAAGCACTGCCCAAGTCTCCATTATTTTGCTGGATGTAAATGATAACCCACCAACATTTCTTTCCCCTAAGTTGACATATATTCCAGAAAACACACCTATTGACACTGTCGTTTTCAAAGCTCAAGCAACTGACCCTGATAGTGGCCCAAACAGCTACATTGAGTACAGCCTGCTGAATCCCCTTGGAAACAAGTTCAGTATCGGGACCATTGATGGTGAAGTGAGGCTCACTGGAGAACTGGACAGAGAAGAAGTTTCTAACTATACTCTAACAGTGGTGGCTACAGACAAAGGCCAACCGTCTCTCTCTTCATCTACAGAGGTTGTAGTTTTGGTACTTGATATCAATGATAACAACCCCATTTTTGCACAGGCTTTGTATAAAGTGGAGATTAATGAAAACACACTTACTGGAACAGATATAATACAAGTATTTGCAGCAGATGGAGATGAAGGTACAAATGGTCAGGTTCGCTATGGAATTGTTGATGGTAATGCCAATCAAGAATTTCGGATTGACTCTGTCACAGGTGCTATTACTGTGGCTAAGCCTTTGGATAGAGAGAAGACTCCCACTTACCTTTTAACTGTTCGGGCAACAGATCGGGGCAGCACCCCCAGAACTGATACCTCCACGGTCAGCATTATTTTACTGGATATTAATGATTTTGTTCCTATATTTGAGCTATCTCCATATACTGTAAATGTCCCTGAGAATTTAGGGACCCTACCCAGAACAATTCTTCAGGTCAGTATACTTAGAAAAAAATAAAGACAAGTATTGTGTTTGTTACAAGACATCTAACTGAAAAGTACCACTTTTCTACAGTGTTCATGATTCCTTCATCCTGTCCTCATTCTCATTTATAAATGCTCAATTGCAGATATAAAAACTCCTGAAAAGGAAAGCTTATGAACATTATACCTAAGAACCTACTGATTTCTTCAATGATCAAAATATTGCATTTCAATGACATTGTTTTGCTGCACACGCTTATGTATTTGTGCATTTTTGAATTTTGTTTCATTATGAGAATAATATGCACACAGTCAGAAAATAAAATGATGCAAAATTTTGAAAAACTTATTACAAATATTGTTTTAACTTCCATCTTCATTAATTCAACTACCTAAGTGAAACTGCTCTTAAACATTTTTGTAAAACCTAAAAATGCTATGCTTTAGTTTTATGCATATTTTTATAGACTAGATTTGTTCAATACATACTATTCTGTACAATTTCATTTTTTACTTGAACACTTAAAAATATGAAGGTACTTCAATAATTTCATGGAAAAATAGATTTAAAAAATAATATGAATCTTTTCATGAACTTTTTGAAGTGCCCCTGTATATCTTTGGAATCTCTTAATATGGCTCGGCCTCATTTTTTAAGATTCATTTTATTTCATGGTATGCATTGTGTTAGTTTTACTCACATTTAGGACATGTACTATTCTCTCTCATAGGTGGTGGCAAGAGATGATGATCAAGGATCCAACAGCAAACTCTCGTATGCTCTATTTGGTGGTAATGAAGACAACGCTTTTACTCTCTCAACCAGTGGAGAACTTAGAGTAACACAGAGTCTGGACCGGGAGACGAAGGAGCACTTTGTCTTGATGATTACAGCTACAGATGCAGGTAAGTCTGTTACAACCTTGTTCCGTTGTGAATTATTTCTTTATGAGTAAATGAAAGTATTTTTTTGTTTGTCATTAAATTGAATATTTGTTGAAATTTACTAATGCTTGAATTCTGATTGTATCTATGTAGTTTATAGCACATAAATTACTTTATGAAATTTATATGTAAGTGTTAAGGGCTTTAGCACATCTCAAGCAAAGCTTCGTTCCTATAAAACAGAATGAATCCCTGCCTTGTAATCCACTTGAGTACCTCTAGGTGTGACCTTATACTCTACCACTTTAGCCAGGAGGCATTTAAAGTACCCTACCTTCGAAAATATCCAGTTCTAATCATCCGTTCTCTTCTAATAGACATGGGTGAGTCAGTCAGTCACTCAGTTAGGATCTTTCACGGGAGGTGTTCAGTAAAGCGTTGGATCTAAATGTGCAAACTCACTGCTCAAGAACCAAGTCCTGGTTCCTGGGAGCCAAACTGTATCAGTTCTTCATGCCGTCAGCCTTGAAAATGGGGGGAAAATCAGGGACTAAGATTTCTTAGTATAAGGACAAATAACAAAATTCTAACACTAATTTCTGTGAAGGACTATTGCCATTAAATGAGAAATGTGAAGACTGAGTGTGTGAAGATTCTGACCAATACTGAGAATAGAAGGATTATGAGTTATAGAGAGTTCTGAATTACAGAGGGTGAAAATTCAGATTATTGGTAAAGTTAGGTATTTGTAAGTGTTTCTTTCATTCAGGGCCTTGCAAATGGTGCTGAAGAGCATGATTGGAGGTATGTGTGAATTTCAAAATACTGTGTTGTTTTGTCACAGTATTTGATAGTCCTGGAAATTTAAAGATTAATGGAACCCTGTCCCAAAGCAGAGCTCTCTCTGTGTGCTTTTTTTTGAGTTGGCCTGAAATAAACTGATGTTGCTGAGGCCACTGTAGAAAAGTGTTCAATCAGATGTCTGAAGGTCACGTGCTATAGGTGTTGCAGAAAGCAATCAGAAAGTGTGAGGAGAGTCAGACTAGATGATCTTAAAGCCATTAAGACTCATCCGTGACCATAATTCTATATGTAATTAATTCTCTTGCCATACTTTTAATATCGCTCATAACCACTTTTTCTGGAGAATGTGAGAGTTTTAGTTATCAGGATTCAGAATCTGCAATTTAATCTATTTTTCCACGAATAAAGTTTCTGACACAGGACTTAAAATACATATGCACTGTTTTGATGTAGAAGTCGAACTGGTAGATGACATGAGAAAATTCAAAAAAATATGTCAGCCTTTAGATCCCAGATGCCATGTTATTCTCAAATTTGTAGTGTTCTAAAGACCAGGAAAATATCAGTGTTCTAAAAAAAAGTTTGACAGTTTTATTGCTTATCTCACAAATCATTTTTCCTTTGCTTGTTTTAAACTCTTACCTGGTGGCAGCCCAGAGATAGGTCAACTTTGGAAATATGGCAGAAATTGAAATGGCAGCTTTTTAATCATGCAAACATCTAAGTCTTTGAATATTTTTGGAGAAAACATTAGCATTCCAACTATCATCATATTTTTATTTACTAACTGCATGGCTATAGAGTAGCACAGCTGGAAACTCTCTACCTACTCCTTTCTACTGCTCAAAATGAGCTACAGCCACACTATCACACGTGTGTGGGATGAATATTACATTACTAAGAAACAAAACCAGAACAAAGTATAATGATATTAGCTTATTTTTTTCCTATAGTATTAAATTGCTAAACATATTACATCAGTTAAATATTTTAAAACTATACTTAAAAGTATGTATATTCTGCTTTCATTATGTATTACTCAGTATTATTTCTTCTAGAAATAAATACCGCACCAAGTAGAAGCTCCTAGGAGACTAAAGCATCTGCATGGTATAGTAATGCAGGTACTACTATGTGGTTTCTCATAAGAGGGGAACTTGCTCTAAAGTAGTAAATGTCCTTGGAATGGCTAGGCATTCTATTCCTAAGTAGGCTTCCTTACAAAAGTTTGCCTTACCATTTTCTCATATGTATGAAAAAGAAAATTAAATGCTTTCAGTGTAGTAAGTAGCAGGGAATTATCAAGGAAACCAGAGCAGTATACTTAAAAAAATAATTCAGAGAATTAATGTACAAAATGGAAGTATATCCTAGAGGTAAATGCATAGACTTTAGAGTTAAACCTAGGTTTGAATCCTACCTCTTCCATTTTCGAGCTACATGGCCTTGGATAAGTTACCTCTACCTTCATGTTTATATCTATAAATGGAAATACTAATACCTACATGTAAAGATTATTGGCCAGAATAGATGAGAGAATAGCTTATTTTACCTATTAGTATTACTCAACATGTTTGCTAGACAGTTGAACCTTAGTGAGGCCAAAATAAAACTTGCCGATTTCTATCCACCTTCCCATCCTGCCCAAATTGATCTCTGTCCACTATTTCACAAAAGCTGAAGGCAAACCTTGTTATCATTCTTCCTTCCTGTCCTCCTGTGCCCCAACATTCCAGACCATCATCACGTAGACTCTGCCTCAAAAATGTCTAAAAGTGTCCTGAATTTATCCGCTTTTCTTCATCTCCACTACTACCAGCCTAGTCTAACCAGGGCTAGTATGATAGCTTCTCAATTGCCATTTTTTTTCTCCTGCATGGTGCATTCTCCAACAAGCAACTCATGAACTTTTAAAACTATAAATTAGATCATCATACTCCATTGCTTGCTTAAAAACTGTCCCATGATTTCCAAGAATTAAACCTAAATTTCATAACATTGACCACATGGCATTAACTGACCTGGCTTCTGCCCACGACCACCTGCTCCTTCTTTAACTTTGAGCCAACCTTGGTGCACTAGCCTCAGCTCCACCCTTAGTCTCCTTCCAGCTCTGCATTCAGTGTCATCATGTTGTTAGACCAAAATCTGCCAAGGAGGACGTGTTTACACCATGAAAATCAGCAAATGTTTTGGATGGGGAAGGTTTGCTTCTTGAGAACAGTTGCTGAACATTTACTGCACACTGCCAATGCCAATCAATCTGGATTCCTTAAAAAATGCCAATCTTTCTCCTGCCCTTCGCCCTACGCACTGGTAGTTCTCTCTGTCTGGAGTTTTCTACTCTGCACCCAGCTGTTTTGCTTTGTTTTGTTTGAGGGGAGGAGGGCATTTATCTCCTTTTGTCAATACATCAGGTAAAATGCCAACTTCTCAGAGAGGACTTATCTGACCACAGATCTGATGATCCTCCTCCTCCTCTCCCCAGTATCACTCACTTATTTTACCTTGCGATTTCCTCTTAACACTAATTGCTATCTAAAGTTATATGCTTATATATAATATAATATATATGAGTCTGTACAGTTTGTCTAATAAACAGAGTTCCATGTAAACTTCTTCAGTCTTATTCAAAATGGAATTCCCAGAAATACTCAGAATAGCACCTACAACATAACAGGCACTTACTTCATAAATATTTGTTGAATGAGTTATTTAATAAGTGTAAAATGATGATGATGATTGATCAATTAACCAGCCTGTCATTTCAATATACAACTGTTATTCATATTTATTTATTATGATTTTTGTTAGTTTATTGTTATATATTTATCACTTGCAGATTTTTTAAAGAAACTTCCAGCGGAAAAGTGCAAATCCTTTTTAACTCATGGCTGAAATTTCAGAAGACTTGCTGCATTGGTTGTGGTCATTCAAATTGGCCTCTGCCTTGAAAAGCAGCACAAGTGTTTTAGGCTCTGTGGTATTTAGTGTGATGTGATAAATTGCAGTCATGTGTGGGGACACACTGAAGCATTTTATGGTTTAATTCAGTTTTAAGTGCTTAAAATACTGCTTGAGCTATATTCTCATGACTTTCCCCTGAACCTTCTGGCTCTCATTCGGTTCTCTTATCTATAGGACATTTCTTGTTGCTCCTCTGTGCTTTGCTGTTTACCTTTTCTTAGTTCGATTCACTAATTCCAAAAGTTTTCCCATTTGGTGATGCTTTCAGACCTGGGCTTCCCAAAGCAGAAAAATGTGAGTCTTCAGCACTTAACCCTACATGTGGCAACTGGTTGTACGTAGCTTAAGCATAAGGGCCTATTACTCTTCACATCAACTTAATATGAAAAGTTTGCTTGTTTTGAATTTTTGTTATGAAAATCTTGGTGTTGAGATAAACTATTTTAATGGATATACATCTATGCAAGTAATTTATCTAGGTTTTTTAGAATTTTTTTAAACTTAAGATGATCTTATGCCCTCATCAGTATATTCAAAGCCTGTGAGCCATTAATAGATGCCACCACTTTTTCAGAGAACAGAATTATTATGCGAGAAAGCAGTAAAACAAGGTGGTATGACTGTCAGGGGATGTTACATCCATAATTCAGTGTGTAGTAAGGAGGTGTTTGTAAAGAGAACCACACACACACACACACACACACACACAAATTCGAATTTAGGGAAATCTGACTTAAAATGATAACTTTTTGGCCAGAAGATTTCTTGGAGATGAGCCAGTCCACGTCCTTTATTTTACAGATAAGGGAATTAAAGCTGGAGACAAGTATTTTGTCAGAGCTTGCAGACCCAGGTAGTGGCAGTATCCAGAACAATATTCAGGATTTTTGCCTTTCAACCATGTTCTTGCTCACCAATACCATATGTATTAATTATTTTAAGAAAATCAGGATATTCCTTAAAATATCTTGCCGATTCTGCGTGACATAGATTTACAAAACTATTTTTCTTACATGCTACTAATTGTACTCTAATGAATAAAACATTCACCCATTATTTTTCTTTTCCCAAATAAATAAATATTTCAAAACACTTTTAAGCAAAACCAAATTAATTGGAATCGATAATTTCAATGTGCATCTTTTGAAAATAAGCTTCAATTTAAGCATTGCTCAAATTAAACTGCTGCATAGGAGAAGATACAAAGAATTCATTAGGTGGAAGATGATAACATTGCCAATTATCATGTT